TCTTTTTTTTGCCTTCTATACAAATATTAAATGACCTCCCCTAAATCCTCCCTCTTCCTAACTAACCTCACCGTCTCATGTGGTCTCATAAAGCCCAGGATGCATTGGCAAATGGCACTTGCAGCTGCATGAGATTTGACATTAATGGTTCTCAACTGTGCCCCTCCTCCACTTGGAGCTTGAGGACAGGCCAAGTGCGCACTGGGTGTGTTGGCAAAGTCCCCGCTGCTGAGTAGGGGCTTCATGTGAGCTGGTCACAGGACTTGGAATGGGAGCTGCTGCTAGTTCTGGGCTCTATGTTGGGGGCCTGGATGCTGGATGAAAGGGACGGCTTAACTTGGGGTGTCTCTCCGAAAGACACAGTCTATCCCTGCCCCTGCCCTGCCCTGTACTCTGCTCCAGGCACTGTGCTAAGTACTTGGTCACCAGCACCTTGTTGGCTCCAGCCTTCTGATAGATCATTTAGCATCACTCCATCTTATAGAGGAAGAAACTGAGGCCCAGAGAGATGAGGTGACTTGCCCCATTACAGGGCTGGCCAGCAGTGAAGCTGAGATCCCTACTCCCGGCTGTCTGACTCCCCACACCTGCACTTAGATGCAAAGCTTCTCTGAGTACCAAGGAGCCCACCCCTACCAGCCCTGGTCTGGGCTCTCACTTAGTCCAGTGATTCAGGATGGCTTGTTTTTCTTGGCCTTGAAAGTGTTCCCGGCTGACTCAGATGTGGGCTGCAGCTCACATGACAGGTTGTAGCTACAGGAGAGTGTGTCAGCTATGAGGCTACCAGGAGCCACACTCAAGTCTCCCTCCCAGTGCCTACCCCAAAGCTGGAGTCCAGGCACCAAGCTGTCACCAGGCAACAGGATTGGACACTGACCAAGGGGTCATAGACACAGATCTCTGGAGCTGGGCCCCAGGGGATGTCCACCCCTGCCATCATCAATCTTGTCCTGGCTTCACTTCTCCGTTTCGCCGTGCAGCTCCATGGCCTGGAACCAGGCCCCAAATTGCTCCTCTGGTGTGATGCTGTAATTATTGCACGCTGGCTGAAACAACTTGATCTGGGCGATCACTTTGAATTCTTGGATCCAGTGAAGACAGGATGGTGACAGGGCCTGGGTGGGGAGCTGCTATGAAAATTCTTGACTATATCTTTTGGTGCACATATTATGCATTCCTGTCTTGTATACCTATGAGCGGTACATACAAAGTTGTATATAATGATTATTTCATTGACTAGGATCTCCAGCACAATTTTGTTTTTTTGAAACCATTTTATTGAGGTACAATTGACATACAAAAGGCTGTATATAATTAATGTATAAAATTTGATGAATTTGAAGATAAGTGTTCCCTCATGAAACCATCACCACAAATAAGGCCATAAACATATGCATCATATTCAAAAGTTTTCTCCTGCCACTTTTACCTTTTTTTTTTCTTTTGTGACTAAGAGCATGTCTTAGCCTGTTTAGGCTGCTATAACAGAATACCATAGACTGGGCGGCTTTAATAGCAAATATTTATGTCTCACAGTTCTGGAGGCGGGGAAGTCAACAATCAAGGCACTAGCAGCTTCAGTGTCAGGTGAGGACCCACTTACTGGTTCATAGACTTCTTGCTTCTCACTGTGTCGTTACATGGCAGAAAGAATGAGGGAGGTCTCTGGGGTCTCCTTTATAAGAGTACTAACCCCATTCACGTGGGCTCTGCTTTCATGACCTAATCACCTTCCAAAGGCCCCACCTCCTATTGCCATCACATTGGGAGTTAGGATTTCAATATAAGAATTTTTGGGGGAAAAAAACATTCAGTCTATAGTAGAGAACTTAACATACAATCTACCTTCTTAGCAAATTTTTAAGTATACAGTATTGTCGACTGTTGGCACGATCCTGGCACAATTTTGAATTGAATTGGTACAACTGATATCCTTCACTTGTTCCTGATCTTAGGACGAAAGCATTCAGTTTCCCACTGTTAAGTATAATGTTACCTTTAGGCTTTTCATAGATACGCTACTAGTTTAAGGAAGTTTTCTCTATTCCTAGGTTTCCGAGATCTTTTTTTTTATTGAGAAAGGATATTGAATTTTATCAAATACTTTTTCTTCATATATTGAGATGATAATTGGATTTTCTTTAGTAGTATATTAAAATGGTGAATTATAATAATTGTTTTTTGAATACTAAACCAAATGCATTATTGCAATGAATCTAGTTGGTTCTGGTGTTTTAGCCTTTTTATATATTTTTGGATTTGATTTGATAAAATTTTGGTAGTGATTTTTGTACCCATGTTTATGGGAGATATTGATATCTGTGGTTTTCTTTTCTTGTATTATATTTTTACGGTTTTGGTAGCAGAGTAATGGTGGTCTCAGAGAATGGGTTGCGAAATTCCTTCCTCTTCAATATTCTAGAAGAGCTTGTGTAGAATTGACATTATTTCTTCCTTAAATGCTTGGTACAATTCACGCATGAGGCCATCTGTAGTTGTAGTTTTCTTTATGGGATGCTTTTAACTAGAAATTCACTTTCCTTAATACATAACTTCTTATATATTTCTTCCTGCATGAACTTTGGGATCTTTTGTTATTTAAAAATTTTTTTCATCAAAATTGTCAAATTTATTGGCAAAGTTGTTCACAACATTCTCTTATTTTCCTTTTAATATCTGTAGAACCTGTAGTGATGTCATCTGTCATTCTTAATATTAGTAATTTATATCTTCTCTCTTATCTTTCACAATTAGTCTGGCTAAAGGCTTATTGATTTTATTGTTCTTCTGAAAGAAGCAATTTTTCATTTATTGAGGTATAAATCTGAGCAAAAATCTCTTTCTGTTGTTTTTCTGTTTTCTATTTTATTAATTTTGTCATTATCTTTATTGTTTCTTCTGCTTACTTTGTGTTTCATTTGGTCTTTTTTTCCAAGGTGGATACCAAGGTCATTCTTTTTCTCTAACATAACTGGTTATTCCTATAAATTTTTCCCTTTCCACTAGTTTAGCTATATCTCACATGTTTGATATGTTTTGTTTTTTGTTTTTTGGGGTTTTCTTGTTGAGGAAGACTGGCCCTGTGCTAACATCTGTTGCCAATCTTCCTCTTTTTTGTATGTGGGATGCCGCCCAGCATGGCTTGGTGAGCGGTGTGCAGGTCTGCACCCAGGATCCAAACCGGCGAACCATGAGCCACTGAAGTGGAGCACGCGATCTTAACCACTATGCCACTGGGCCGGCCCCTGATGTGTTTTGCTTTTATTTTAATTCCATCTAAATGCTTTATAGTTTCACTTTTTATTTCTTCTTGAATCCATGGGTTATTTTGAAATGTGTTACTGAGTTTCCAAATATTTGGAGGATTTTCAGATATCTTTTTGTTATTGTTTTCTAATTTAATTATGTTGTGATCAGAGAAAACTCTTGGTATGATTTAAATCCTTTTGAATTCATTGAGGCTTGTTAGGTTGCTCAGATTTCCACCTCAAGCTTCTAATGCTACCATGCTAACATGAGATACCTAAATTTCTCATCTATGTTATCTTGTCCAACAGCCTCATAATCTCCCTACTTGCATACTTGCCTTCTTTCCAGTCTATTCTCAACAAAAGAGCCACAGGGATACTTGTGTATCCTTGTGTATCCTGTGTAAACTTAAGACAGATCATGTCACTCCTCTGCTGATGACTTTCTATTGGTTTCCCAAATCACTCATAAACCAAAGACTTTCTGTTTGCCTACAAAGTCTTACAAAAACAGATCCCTTGTTACCTCTGACCTTTATATCCTACCAATCCCCCAATATACTGCTCACTCTCTGATAGTCAATCTAGCCTCCTTTCTGTTTCTTTAACATACCAAGGACTCTCTCATCTAGACACTTTGCAGTTTCTACTCTCCCTGTCTGGAATGATCTTCCCCTCAGATAAAAACAGTAACTTATTTCCCGGATCCTCTTTAGCTTTTTGCTTAAATCTCTCCTTCTTGTGGAAGTCTACCCTGACCACTAGACTACTTAAAATTTCAGTGCCACCCACAACATTCCTTTACCCCCTTCACCCTGCTTGTGTTGCTGTCAATAATAAAACACTCATTATCTTATATCATAGCATATGCTTTACATATTTATATTTTTAATGACACTGTCTCCCCTCTATAATGTAAAATCCTCAAAGGGAGAAATCCTGACTCATTTGCATAGAAGAGTCCCTCACACAGTAGTTATAGAATATAAATGTATTTAATGAGTCATATCCCATGTATACGTTTATCTTTGCCTCAACTAGAAATGGGTTGTCTTAGCTTGGGCAGAAAGAAACAATCCTTGTTTTTCCAAACTAGAAGGAAGAAAAATATAGACCATCTCACCAAGGAAAACCCTGTAGAGGAAAAAGGATTTAGAATCAGGAAATTGGTTAATACAGTGATTGTCCTGTGCATCTCTGTTAGATTCTTTCCACTGTGTACACAACAAAATTAACTAGCAAGGGCAGAAGATTTGAATGTTTTTTAGGTTTTAGGAAGCTGTAAGGAAACACTTTATTAATCAGCTACCTCGGTAGGAAGACAAGCATTTTGAACTTTCTTATTTTGAAAACTGAGAACTACACTATGTTTTTATAGCTCTGGAAACAAATAGAGAAACTGAATTATAGATTATCGTGCAACTATTTTATGATACCTTAATTTCTAAAGCAATTCAATTTTGTAAACATTAAAACTAACTCAAATAAGTGCTCAAATGTACATTTCACTCTGCATTTAAAAAGTATCATCTCAACCACACTTGACAGTTCCAATCCTCTTCAACTTGGGAGTCAAGAATTTAAAGAGTGAGAAGGTAGTTTCTGCAATTATATTTTACACTTCCATTCCCAGGGACAGTAGAGGACCTAAAATAGGAGAGACTATTAAAAGAAGAGTGTGTAAGGGGCAAGGAACGAGGAGATCTCTCTGACAGGGTCAGTTGATAAGATAAGAATAAGAATAGGGTGCTGTCACTTAGAGAAAAAGATCTCCCTTCTGAGAAGTTTCCCCAGGGCCCCTTTCATGTCTCTGTTCCTCAGACTATAGATGAAAGGGTTCAGCATGGGGGTGACCACTGTGTACATCACTGAAGCAATTATGTCTTTATCATTGGAGTTGCTTGATGATGGGAAAAAGTACAATGCCACAATTGTCCCATAGAATAGAAAAACCACAGAGAGGTGAGAGCCACAGGTGGACAAGGCTTTGCAGATCCCTTTGATTGAGGGAAACCTCAGGATGGTGGCCCCAATGTGGGCATAAGAGACCAGGATGCCAATAAATGATGAGATAATGACCAATTCCCCAACAGTGAAGATAAAAATCTCATTGAGGGAGGTGTCTGAGCAGGAGAGCTTAAGCAGTGCAGCGAGGTCACAGAAGAAGTGGGGGATGGTGTTTTCAGCACAGAAGGACAGTTGAGCCAGGAGGAGGGTGTGGGACAGGGCACTGGCACAAGAGAGGAGCCAGGATCCAGCCAACAGAAGTATACGCAGCTCTTCCTTCATGATGGTGGTGTAGTGCAGAGGGTGACAAATGGCCACATACCTGTCATATGCCATCACTCCAAGAAGAAGGTTATCAATACAGCCAAAAAATATGAAAAAATACATTTGTGTTACACACCCTACATAGAGGATAGATTGATCCTGAGTATGCATATTTATCAACATCTTAGGCACAGTGACAGATGAAAAAGAGATGTCAGTGAGGGCCAAGTGGCTGAGGAAGAAGTACATGGGGGTGTGGAGGCGAGAGTCCAGCCTGATGAGCAGGATGATGAGCAGGTTCCCCAGCACTGTGGTCAGGTACATGCCTAGGAACAGGGCAAAGAACATGCCCTGCTGCTCTGGCTGGATGGGGAGCCCCAGGAGGAGGAACTCGGACACGCTGCTCTGGTTCTCCCTCCTCATGCTGCTCTTCTCTCTGCTTAGGTTGAAGGAATATTGGGAATGTCCCAGATGATGAATAGTTATGATGGCAATCACATAGGGTATCTACTTTCTACTGAGGAATTCCTCAGGGTATTTCCCACATGCTGTTGCCTGAATCCCCACCTTCCGCTAGTGGAGCAGGAGGGAACCATCAGAGCTCCAATGGCCAAGAAAATTCATTCAGTGTAAACCAAGAGAAATTTATTTATTAATTTAACAATGTGTTAGACACCATACTCTTTCCTGGAGAAAACAAAACAGAGAAAGGCCTTTCCTTCAAGGAGATCACATTCTAAGAAGTAAAGTTTTCCAGAACTGGTTCAGATCAGTGTATCTGCAACACAACTTCCAGTGGGTTCTGACTTCAACACTTCGTAACTAGTCTCAACAACTTACTCTCTTCTCGCCTCGTTTTGAACCTCTAGAACATAAACACAATAATACCTAGTCATAAGGTTTGCGAAATAATTAAATGATTCAACGTGAGTTATGATATTAGAACAAAGTTCTTCATACAGTAAGGGCACAGATATGTCATCTAATATCTTCCTGCCAGGGTGAGTGTCAAGATAAATTCTGGGTTGATCTTTAGGAACCCAATACACCAGAAACGTGAATTGAATTAGAAAGAAGCAGGTAGCTCATCTGAAAGTTGTCTTAACCTATGTGGGCTCTCAATGTCTTAAGGAAGGTGCAGAGATACATAGCCTAGACCCTGTGGTTAATTTCCTGATGGAACTTAGCTCAATGCATTTTTTTTTTTATTCAGGACAAAAATCAATTATGCTTCACCCATCTCCATTGTTGTCCATTTCTCTGCATCTATCTTCAGTTAATCAAATTGGCTCGGATCTAAGCATTGGTATGCTGTGAGACACCTGAATATTTTCCCTAGAACCTGAGAACTGGTAGATGCTGTGAGATTGGTGATGCCTGTTAAAATTAATATTTATCTGATTATCATGACTATTTCTCAATAACAATCTTAATATGATTGACATTTATTAAACATGTACCCTTCTATGCACCAGGTAAAATGAAGGGATTTTTGTGTACATAAAGAGAGTGTGTGTGTGTGCAAGCATGTGTGCTGAAGCCAAGAGATGTTAAGAAACCAGCCCATGGTCACACAGCCAGTAACTGCTAGAGTCACCATTCTTTACTCATGTCTTTATTAAGTCTCTGCTCCTATTAAACATATTCTTCCTCTCTTATTTAATAGAGCAGAAGAGCCAAGGCTTTGAGACGTTTCATTGCTTGAAAGAGGATTTCTGTGCCCAATACCACCTCAATCACCAGCTCAGATGTCTGCCATCACTCATTCTTACAGTCATTGATATTCCTACAGCCTACAGTTTGAAAATGGCTTCTATATGCTTTCAATTATGTGCAATCAGTATATATTTTTGCCTGAGAAGGAGAGAAATAATGACTTTTTTCTTTCATTCTACTAATTTGAGAAATGCAGTCACTTACACAGTGTGTTTGGTGGTGGAAACTGATCTCAAAGGCAAGCCTTCTGATACTCTTTTCACTAGAGACACTTCCAATTTCTTTGGGGGAGAATGGTTAATAGACTTAAAATACCCATATGCCTGGAAGAGAAAACTGACATTAACACACAGGATCCACATCTGATAGTAGATTCTTGTTCCAGACCAGAGTGATTCTCAGGGACACTAGGAGAAAAGAGATGACCTCACTCCCCTGCTGAGGCTTGGCTGCCTATTGACAATTTCTGAGGGATACTTAAGCCAAGAGCTTCTCTGGGGGTCAAATGCAGGGGGAAGCAGAAAATCTGGTACAGGCACTGGTGCTGTGGTGTCAAGAGGTGAACCAGCGGGAAGGGAACATTCACCTTGTTTATACAGGGCAGTGTGACCTATACTCAGCAATGAAGCTGTTTCATTTCTCTCTCAAGTTTTGGGAGAGAATCTTTGCGTGGACTTGCAGTTCTAACTGATACAACGTATTCTTCCATGTTAGAGTTACCTGAATGGAGAGTCTGGTAAGTCAGCCTCCATTTGGGGAACAATTACACAGCTGGCTACCATGAACTTGGTGCTTACTATCTGCTTTAAATGGATTAAACTATTGCAAACAATATCCTACAGCAGCTATTATTATCCTCTTTTTTTTTTTTTTTT